GGGGTAGGGGTGGAGGAGTGGATGGATCTAGCTTTGCCTGAGATGGAGAGAGGGTTACGTCATGGAAATCACACTGAAAAGATACAAGACCGTGACCACAACCACCAAACCCCTGTTCATAAGCACTCAGAAAACGCTTTCTATCCTTACAACAACCTGCATTCAGCAGCAGCAGCACATTACCCTCACCCACATCCCCATTTAGAGATGAAGAAACTGGAGCTCAGAGAAGCTGTTACTTCTCTACAAAAGTGGCAGGGCTGAGATTCAAGCACAGATGTGCCTGAAACCAAAGCCTTGACCTAGGACATGCCACTTGTCTTCTCGTGCCACTGGTCTGTGAGATTCCTGAGGGCTGGGGCATGTCTCACTCATCTTGTACACCCCTGTCTCCCTCAGTGTGCAGTAAACATGGAACAAATGAAGGAATGGTTGCATGAATGAATGGATCAACTTCTCAGAGCCTCACTTTCTCTCCCTGACTGTCAAATTGGCTACCAGTTCCTTGCCTGTTTCTCTTATGGGGGTTATGGGAGTCAGAGAACACAGTGGCTCTGAGTGTGTAAAGTGACAGCCATATGTGAGGCAAGGAGAGTTCAGCCAGCCAGCCATCCATCCATCCATCCATCCATCCATCCATCCATCCATCCATCAGTTCATCTATTTATGTATTCCTCAGACATTTATTAAGTACCAGCTATGTACCAGGCACCATGAATGCATTAATGAGCCATGGTGTCTCCCCTCATGATTTAAAGTCAGAGAGACAGACATAGACCAATTAAAGAGACCAATAAAATTCAATGAAATAAAGGACAAGTTGTGTTAAGAGTTTTGAAAGAAATGAAGCCTGAGATGACAGTAGTTGAGGGCCTCTCAGAGGAGATGGTTCCTTAGTTGACTTAAAGGATAAGAAGAAACTACCCAAGACAGGGTGAGCGGATGACGGGGAGGGAACAGCTTGGGTCAGCCTGATGTAGGGAAGATCTGGTGTGTTTGAGCAACTCATAGGCCAGTGAAACTGAGGAGGATGGAGGGCTGATCTGGGGCCAGTCAGGAAGAGCCTTGTGGGCCGTGATGAAGACCATGGATTTTCTTCTGAGTTGGAAGAGGGTTTTAACCAGCAAGTGACATGATTCGGTTTATGTTATGAAAAGTCTATTCTGGCTGCTACTTGGAGTCCAGGGGGAAGGGAACTGGAATAGTCTAGGTGAGAGATGGTGGAAGCCTAGTTCAGTGTGGTACTGCTGGTAGATCTGAGAACTATTTAGAAAGTAGGACAACAGGATTGGACCAGGCGTTGGACTGGGTGTGGAGGAATCGGAGCCCTTAACTGGGGAGTTGTGGTCTGGGTGGGAAAGAGTGAGTGCCTTCCATGTTCTTCGTTCTGGGCCCCTTTCTTTCTTCCAATACATCTCTCCCCATTCTTTAGACTATTATCCCAGTTGGCAAAAACATGTCCATCCTATGTCATGTCACTCAACACTCTGGGTTCTTGATGGCCTCCCTCCTGGATGACTCAATGACTTCACTCCATGGAGCATAGAAGCTTCTCAGAGGTGCCCACTTTGGGGATTAGAAAGTGGAACGAGAGAGGGCAGAGATCCAGCCCCCTGTCTCATTCTGTCAGAGGAGCTTCCTTGTCATCTATTTTATGTATCAGATTTCTTTGTAAGCTTTTATTTGAAGACATGGGTCATGCCTTGAAAAATTGAAAATCACTTCTTAAAAAGATGTATTTCTTTTATTTATTTATTTATTTATTTATTTATTTAAGTTAAACTCTATGACCTTTATTTTTTTTCCCCATTTATTTTTATTCGTTGGTGGCTAATTACTTTACAATATTGTAGTGGTATTTGCCACACATAGACATGAATCAGCCATGCATTTACATGTGTTCCCCATTACGATCCCCCTTCCTACCTCCCTCTCCATCCCCCCTCCTGCCTCCCTCTCCATCCCATCCCTCTGGGTCTTCCAAGTGCACCAGCTCTGAGCACCCATCTCATGCATCCAACCTGGGCTGGTGATCTGTTTCACCCTTGATAGTATACTTGTTTCAATGCTGTTCTCTCTGAACATCCCACCCTCACCTTCTCCCACAGAGTCTAAAAGTCTGTTCAGTACATCTGTGTCTCTTTTTCTGTCTCGCATATAGGGTTATCATTACCATCTTTCTAAATTCCATATATATGTGTTAGTATACTGTATTGGTCTTTATCTTTCTGGCTTACTTCACTCTGTATAATGGGCTCCAGTTTCATCCATCTCATTAGAACTGATTCAAATGAATTCTTTTTAATGGCTGAGTAATATTCCATGGTGTATATGTACCA